GTTTTCAATGTTCTCCACCCTCAATGTTTATGGTTGCCTTTTGTCTCCACCTTCAAGGTTTATATTCTAGTCGTGTTTGGAGACTGAACATGAAAATCTCCATCTCAAAAACAGAAGTTATGAAGGTCAGCAGAAACGTTTTACTTGTGGTATTGTCAATTCTGCTTTTTTTTTATTTTTGTTGGTGCATTTACATTTATATTAAGATATAGTGCTTGTTAGAACACATTGAACATACAATAATGAATTCAGGATTTATTTTTGTTCACAACTCAGTGATTGCGCCTCTAGTAAAAAGTTTTGTTTTTTATAAATGTTTTACTAATGTGGGAAGTCTACTCTTGTGTGACATCTCTATCTGGTTCCTGGCCTTGTCTCAGTTTGATTATCCTGTCAAATAAGTCAGCCTTCGCCCCTGTTCACAGAAAGAATAGCAGAAATATAATGACCGTGTTATGACATAGAAGACTTCATTGTGCAAACAAACCCGAGACCTTTCCATGCTTGAGTGCATGTCACGCGCAGCTAGCTATCCAAGAGGCCAGATACCGCAAAACAGTTATTGTAATCGTTGCAAGAGGCTATGGCACGAAGGCTAGGCCTTCGCAGACTGTGAAAGCCTAGCACGAAGGTCAATTGCAAATTATCTGAAATTCCGTTTACTTGGGAGGGGAAGCCAGGGGAAAAGGTGGATAGCGCCAGGGGGGGGGGGGCAGGTCGTTTCAGACTGCCCTGTTGTAACTTTTGGAATTTAGCATTGTTTAGCTCTTTCTTTTCATTTCGTCTGGAAACTGTTCAAATGTACTTAACCCAGATAGCGAACTTTTTCTGGAAGAGAATAACCAGATTGTAGGCCACCTATAGTATGTTTTTCCCCAACATTTAGAATTCGTATTTTGGCAAAATATTTCATGAGCACCTGCAACCGATACCACTAATAAAGAAGGCTTTCTACATGTGAACGTCTGGCCGATGTTATTCTGTCTGATCTGGATGTGTAAAGGGGGGAGAGGGGGTTGTTGTAATGCTCTGCTGTCAGCAGTAGCCTATGTTATACTTATTTTTTAACAGTGTTTGAACATTGTTTCTTCCTTTGTCCCTTCTTTCTCTCTTCCTTCAGGTTTTATTTATCCTCATAAGAGCTGAGCCTTAACTATCAATACGATCTACACATGAAGTAGGAGTCAGGCACTTTACCCTATATTGGAAGAGTTCCCCCCCC